TAGGCATGGGAATTTTTTTCGATATATCGATAGGTATCGATAGTTATCGATATATCGAATAACAATAGGTAGAGCTAAAAAATCGATATATCGATAGATCGATAACTATCGATATATCGATACTTATCGATATATCGATAACTATCGATATATCGATACTTATCGATATATCGATACCTATCGATATGTCGATAACATATCAATATATATCGATATGTCGATAACTATCGATATATCGATATGTCGATAACTATCGATATATCGATATGTCGATAACTATCGATATGTCGATAACTATCGATATGTCGATAACTATCGATATGTCGATAACTATCGATATGTCGATAACTATCGATATATCGATATGTCGATAACTATCGATATATCGATAACTATCGATATATCGATATGTCGATAACTATCGATATGTCGATAACTATTGACATATCGATATGTCGATAACTATTGATATATCGATATGTCGATAACTATTGGTACGATAAAATTATGTTATTGTTGAGATTTCAACGAGCGCTACTATTTTTATTAATAAAATCCATTTTCGGGTTTACTCTCGTGTAAATTTACTATTTTTAGTTGCTCGACGTTTCGGAAACTTAACTTTGCTCCCTTTCTCAAGAGAAGCGCTACGTCACATCATCATCCATGCCAAATAAACGCAGTAATAAAATCTTTAGAAAATAGATCTTTTCGTCTTACTGACGATTGCTCAAAAAAAGAAGCACTTCAAAAACTTGAACAAAATGTTGCATCAAAATGGCTACTCTTTAGATAAAATAAAGAAGACAATCAAAGGGTGTAATCATGGCCTATGTATCGGTATCTGATTGATGGTTACAGAGGACCAGTCACAAAAAAACAGAAAAAGCTAAGAACACTTCAAATTTAGATATACAGTTTCAATTGATTGACATTTACGAAATCTAACAAAAAACTCTTGATAAAGGTAGCAAAGAAACGTCGAGTAACTATTAATCACTTTTAGTCCTTTACACGAGAATAAACCGGAAAATGGATTTTATTAAATAAAACTCGATAAGATAACTATCGATACGTCGAATATTTCTCTCAAATGACACGTGCAATTACCGCTTAATTACAGCGGTAATTGCATTGTATAAAGCTAAGTACCCAATACTTATATCGATAGGTGAAAACAGTTATCGCCCATCCCTAGCGATAACTATCGACATATCGATATATCGATAACTATCGATATATCGATAACTATCGATATATCGATAATATCGATATATCGATAACTATCGATATATCGATAACTATCGATATGTCGATAACTATCGATATGTCGATACCTATCGACATATCGATAACTATCGATATATCGATAACTATCGACATATCGATAGGTATCGATATATCGATAACTATCGATATTTCGATAATTATCGACATATCGATAAGTAAAATATATCGATAGGTAAGTACCCGATACTTATCGATAGGTGAAAACAGTTATCGCCCATCCCTAGGTAGAACCTGGGGGTTAATACACTACAAGTGCAAAATTAATTAATTAAAATTGAGGTAGTTTGCACGAGGAGGATATGGTGTTGTGAATTGTGCACTCCCTACCAAACCGTCAAAACATTTTCCAGATGCGTTGAGTTTGAGTTTTTCGGCTTAATGAGGCGGACAAAATTTTTTAGCGGGAACTCCATCAATTTTAAAACTGATACATATGAACATAACACACCGCAACAATTTCATCGCTTTCGGATGATGGAAACATTTTCATAAAAAAATCAGTCATCAATAATCTTTCACATGTTGAGTATCACCTTTCAGTTAAAAGTGTGAATTTTCTGTGCAAAAGATAAAACTTGCAAAAGTTGATTCTAAGCTTTACCATATTCATTCTTGCGATTAAGTGAAATTATCAATTATAATATCACAAGAGCATACAAAATAATCGATTATACTACCGAATAACGAGACGAATGATCCGAAACACCACGAGACCGAAGGTCGAGTGGTGTTTCAACGAATTATTCGTCGAGTTACGAGGTAGTATAAAAATTATTTTGTAATGCTCGAGTGGTATTCGACACGATTATATAATGAATAGAATTTTATTTTGACAGTTATTGTTATTGTCATCAAATATAGTGTATACTAGATTTATGACTTTAAATGACATAGTGAAAACACCAAATCGATTATATCACGTCGTCAAGGGTATAATCGCTTATTAATGCATTGGTATCTAAGGAAAGTGGAAGTTTTGATTGGCTCAATGTCGTATGAATGATATAATCGTTTTTAACCGTATACTATGGATTCAAAAATTTTGCGGTTGAAACGTTTCACATTTGGAGAATCCATTTTTAGTTGAAACTTTGGGTTGGTTTGAAAGACTTGAACCTTTGATCTCCGTCCTGTAAAGATATATCATAAATAATCGTTTTTAACATTATCTCAATTTAAGTGTATAGATTCTCAATTAGAATTACACTCTTGATCAAAATTGGAGACGTATTTGATTATGGAACAATAGGAACCCACCGCTCGGAATCGAAAACGTTCAAGGAAGTCAATCAATTCCCAAGATTAAGATTATCTTAATTATTAGCGTTCGAAAACCGCAACTCTACCGATACTGCCGGTGAGCTGTTATTATTATCGTCCACAGTTTGAGTCAAAAACGAGACAAACATGCTAAAAGGGCTCTCCCTGCAGTATTTCGTGGTCGGATCAGGTACTCAAAAAGACCATTTTAGGCCGTTAAATCATTCGTTCTTTCTCTCGTTTGCAGTGTTCCTCAATATGATCAACAGCGGACTGCATGTCAGTTGGACATCGCCCTTCTTGTCCCAGTTGGAGAGCGACCCAAATGTGGGACTAACAAAGGATGGCGGTTCGTGGATAGCGGTCGGGTTTACGATAGGGGGAACGATGGGTGCAGTGATTTCTGGAGGGTTGATAGAGGCGCGCGGACGAAAGGGGGCTATGGTGGTATCGGCCAGTCTGTCAATTGTGTCCTGGTTGGTTCTGGCAACCGTGCGATTGGGTTACGGGTTGTTTTTGGGGAGGTTAATTGCGGGTATCGGTAACGGAATCGCCTCGGTCGTAATTCCGGTGTATCTAACGGAAGTGTGCGATTCACCCGTCGGACGAACTTCAACGTCTCTCCTGAACACTCCATTTTTTATTGGTGCCTTAGTGGTAAACGTATCGGGGTACTGCTGGAGTTTAACTGTCGTGTCTCTTTTCTGTGCTTTTCTACCGCTAGCGTTTTTGGTGATGTGCCAATGGTTACCCGAATCACCAGTGTACCTAGCAAAAGTGAATGCTTCCAATTTGAAGGAGGTGACCTACCAAATTAAGGGACAGGGAGACGCTGAGCCGACCACATACCCACATTTCCCATTCAGTAGGTTGTTCACCGATAAAGCCTATCGCAACTCCCTTATTATGTGCATGGGGGTAATTGTTGTGCAGCAGTGCAGTGGAATCGTGCCGCTTATGTTCTACACCCAAACCGTTCTTTTCGAGAACATTGAAGATCTGCCCCCCGTTACGTTTGCGGTAATTTTTTACCTGGCCCTCATTGCGGTGTCAATTGTGCCAACCATTGCCATCGGGCAAGACGATCGCCTCCTGAAACCACCAGTGATTGGTGTTGGTTTGTGCTTGCTAATGGAAGGCATCTATCTGTACGTCGTACATAAACACTTGAGCACGGAAATTGGGTACCCATGGGTAAAAATGGGGATAATTCTATTTTTTGTTATTTGCTATTGTCTGGGCTTGCAGACGGTACCGTTCACGTTGATAGACATCCTTTTCCCAATACATGCCAAAGCAGCAGCTACTTGCGTCTGTGTCGGTTTCCTAAATTGTGTGGCATCGGTAATAGTTAAACTTTTTCAGTTCCTTTTTGACAACCATGACATGTACGTCCCGTTCGTTATGTGCGCAAGTTTTTCTTTTGTAAGTCTGGTGTTTGTAACTTGTTTCATCTCTCGGGTGAACCGTGGAGAAGTAGGGAGTGATCTAGAACTAAGAGAAAACGTAGTCCCAGCGTAGCTGTTGCTGTGTCTTTTGATGAGTACTCGTGTCGTGTAACTAGATGGAAACCAAAGAGTGTATTTAATAATAGCTCGTTTATTTGAATTGAACACTACAGGCTGACTGCCTCGAAACGTCCATCGAAATCTGCCACCCGGTAGTAAGTGAGACGAAGCTGCCTCTGTTACTACTAAGGCAACTGTTTTAAATAAAAGTCGATAAACAACACCTGCTTCTAGTTTTCTTTACTACTACGCCCCATCGTTTCGGCAAAGAGTACCCATAGTTACTCTTTGGTTTCGGTACCGAATAATTGCGTGGTTAAATTCAATCAATAGATGGAGCCACCTATCAAATCACATCAAAAGCTACGAGGATCTTTCAACAAGTCAATAAATGCTTCATAATGGAGAAAATAAATCGTTACAACCGTGTCCACTACGCGAGATCGTACACCAAGAACGAATGCCTCTCCAAAAATTCCCGGAATGATCCCTACTATCCACGCGTCCAGTAATTAAATTGAACCATTTGTTGTTAACAGACAATACCAAGGTTGTTATAAATTTTATATGGGGTTACGATCAGGATTTAAGAATCTCACGAATAATTACGAATACAAGATCCTCAATTTCTAGCCAACAGGATGTCCCAAGACATTTTTGGAAGCTACGAAATCCAGAAAGAAAATTTTGGAAGTGAAAAAACACAATATGAACAACCAAGATTAAATCAGGGAAAATTCAGAGACGCTAATGAACCGGAGATCCAGCAACTGGAGACATTAATCAAAGTTGAAGAGAATTGAAGGAAATAAATGGATGAAAATTGTAAAACTTATATTTTTGTTAATTTTTTGAAGAGAATATCTAAAAGGGGTTGGAACGGAGTTTACAAGTGGCTCAAAGGGAACACTAAAAGACGATTAGAGAGGAATTAACTTTCTATGAAAGAAAATAGAAGGAATGCTTGAGGAAATACGACAAATAGCACCAATCAAATTAGAAAAGACAATGACCAGAAATTAGAGACGGTCGCCTAGAAATCTAAGCAGTTCAGGCGGAAATTAACCAGAAGCAAAAGAAAACCTAATGCGACTAATGGGAAGAAAAAGTAAAAACTCACACTACCAGAATTGCAAATAAATTCGAAGACCAAAAGACATGAGAAGAATGGGAAGTGACAAATGTAGTTGGAGAAATCGAAGAGAGAGTTAAGGAAAATAAAGAAAGAATTGACAATTTTCACGACTTTTTACAATGTTCGCCAGAGGATAGTACCTATCCAAGGTACGATACGAATCCGACTATGGACGTATCGAAAATACAACCGAAACGTCAATTATGTGGACCATGTCAGATCAGCAAGACGGCATTTGGAGCAAGAGGCAAAACAGCTAATTACAACCCTGGAGCGCGTTTAAAGGTGAAGCTTTCAGGCAATAAGGCACAATAAGGAAAACCTACAAAGAGATGAGACCTAAAATAGAACAACCAGCAAATACAATGGGTTATACGAAGGTTCTTGGTTCTGAACCAGTTCAGGGTCACTCGCCACCTGGTGGCGACCTTAGAAAGTAGGTCAAGGTGACGTTCAAAGTTCGCCTCCATGTGGTGGTGACCTTGGAAAGTAGCTCAAGGAGAATGGACACTTGCTCCCCCCTCCCTTCTCCCACTACCGTGGCAAGTGTGTCGAGGTTTCAAGTTCACATTTTTGGTCTCATTTCGTTTTCAATGTCAAGTGTCATATTTCACTTTCAAATTTACCGGGCTGGTTCTTGGCCACTTCAAGGTCTCTCCGGCACCTGGAGATGACCTTGAAAAGTAAGTCAAGGTGAATAAACATTTGCTTTTCTCTCTTCCCTTTTCCGGGGTTTTCAAGGTTAACTTTTTTGTATCATAGTTCATTTCCAAGGTCAAGTGTCATATTTCAATTTCAAAATCACTTTGTCGGGTGTAGTATTCCATTTTGAAGGTCAACTTTTTGGTCTCGCATTTCATTTCCAAGGTCACATTCGTCTCCTGGTGGTAAGGTCGCTTTCGCCCTCCAAATCGTTTAAATTTCCTCTCGGTTGATGAGAATGAAAGTTCAAAGGCTTCTCCCACCTGTCCCCCGCCAACCGATCATCATGCTCAGGTGTCAAATTCGAGGACTCTCATTTATTCTAAAATGTTTCTTGGGGAAGCTTTGAATTCATTAAGTTAACTTTCATAATTACTAAATATGAGTCTCGTACAAACACAGAAACTATAGAAATCAGTACCAAGCAGAGAACAATAACGAAAATAATCAACAGAGTAAAGGAATTAGAAGAAAGGTTAGCTGAAACGCAAGATCTTCTTAGAGTACAAGAGGAAAGATCCAGAGAGGAACATGTCGCAGTATGAGGACTAAGAAGAGCAAATCGCTATTTTTGTACAACGGTACCTAAAAGCCCAAAGGGAATCAACCTTACTGCCACACATAAACGAAACAAGTATAAATTGTGCACAGGTCTGGAGCAGATAAAGCGCATTTTTTTAACCGAAATAGCTTTTGTTTTGACATCACCAATGGATATATTTCTTGCAGACGTTTCAATCGCCCTTTGTGAGTACCCTCTTCCGACAATCCGTTCTTGAGGTTTAAGAGAATATACCCGATCACGATAAGAGGTCGAGGAGGAGGGCTATGGTTGGTTGAAAATAATTCCTTTCGTTGAGACCTTTCATTAGAGTACCATGAAGGATAAAACTGGTTCTAACCCCCCCCCCCCCGTACTTTGATAAGAGGATAGAAAGAAGGGCAGAAGTTGGTAGAAAACGGTTCCTTTAGTTTAGACCTTGAATGAGAATACAATGAGAGATATGAGACCTTTCATTAGAATACCATGGGGTAGAACATGTCCCCCCCCCCCTCCATTTTCCAAAGTTTAACTTGGAACTAATAAAGGCATACGTATCAAATCTGAGACCAATTGGTCGTCGTATGTAAAAGTTATGCACGTTTTACTTTCGAATACCGCATCTCAGGAAATAATTCGTGGGGTGGGGGTGGGGGGGGGGCTTTTAGACAGCGAAATTTAAAATCCGTCTGGCACACCTTCAACGTATAGGCTACCGGCAAAAAGTACGCTTGGACCATTCCCCTAGAAGTACTTAGTTCAAAACTGCAGAAGTGGGTCCGGACGGACGGACGGACAAAACGCAAACAATACCACATATTTTTTAATTCTTAAAAAATGTGCTAAAAAGCAGCAGCAGAAACAAATTAAACTAAAGCGCAAGAAAAGAAAATTATAGCTATCGAAGCGAAGATAGGAACACGAAAATTTAAATTATCGAAAATGGGGTTGCAATTGAAGTAAAGTAGGGAAACGCTGAGGAGTCTGGTTGAATCAAGGTCAAAGAAAAGTATGGAGTGGCATTAAAAAAAAGTTATGTGTTAAAGGAAGAATTAGCGTCAACCATAACAAAAATTGAAGGTACCAGTGCAGAGACGGAATGGAAGAAATTTGGGAAAAATTTCAGGAAGAGCCAGTTGAAAGAGAACGATGTAAAAGAATGAGAAGAAAAATTGGAAAAGAAGAAAGGGAGTCATGTCGATGGGGGATGAAACAAGTCGAGTGATACAAGGAAGTGTATATGTATAGAAGGGGGTACTGTAACAGGAGTCCGCTAGTGCGTTTTATTTAAATTTGTTCCATTGTTATACTTTGATTTACTATTAACCTCACGAGTACATCATTGTTTTTGGTTTACTGTTACTCCCTACCCTGATTCAGAAAATTCAATTCCAAGACAATAGTTTACTTTTCTTAGACCTTTGATCTCAGAGATTCTGGCCAGATGCTTCTTCTACTCAGCGATCTTCTTGGAAGCAATAACAATGTCATGCATTTCCAAATTCTGTCTATTTTCCAATGCTTGGCATTCGGCTTTCCCCTGAGCCTAGTATTCACCACTGTAAATTATGGTTGACGATCCTCGTAGTGATCATCTTCATTCAGTAGCTTCAGTAGCCCTCAAATTTGATGCACTTTTGAGTTTGTGCATTAGGTCGGTCGACCTAACACAATCATCATTGTCATTCGTGAATTCTGGAGGATTCAACCCTCATGCGAGGGTTGTTTGAATCAATCGGAAAGATCCTTTTAAGAGCGACGTAGTCTCGAATTGTCATTTTTCCGGGTTAACTAATTTCAGTTGTTCTATGAGAAGGTTTAGTATTAGGCATTTTGTGATCTATTAACTTACAAAAATTCAAAATTCGGAGCGATATGTTTGAAATTACAACTTTTGGGAGGGTTTGGTGCTCTTTTAGTGTCTATCTGGTATTTTAAAGGGCGTTTTACTGCTGAAAGTTTTTGTAAAAATTGCCGAGAGCATGCGCAATATGTGCGTTTCCTGAAAGTGAAGCAACTCACTACTTCTGCGTTTTAAAAATGCAAACAACAGCAGAAAATGTGGACAAGACGTACGCGGTCTCATGTTCAACTTTCAGATAAAGGCAAGTAGTTCCAGGGCCGTACTTTTCACTACTGTCATACTCCCTGCGCGGTCAATATCACAAATGACATTATCATCAAGTTAATTACAATGGCACTAAGTCAGCAATCTCCACCACACAAAGCAGTGGATGGCAAACTGTGTGTTTTGGGCATTTGTGACGCCTACAAGCTCCAAAAATGGATAATTTGTGTTAGCTTTGTACATAATAACAATGGTCTACCACTGTTTTCAAGTAAATAGTGGCAAAGGTCAGAGATTAAGGATATTAAGACGATGATATGTTCAGTAATTTGCATGGGTGATATTAACGTAAATGAAAATTTTTACTATTAAAGTGAATGTTGATGAAGGTAAGTCCTGGTGTTTACTTCTTTAATAATAAATTGTTGAAAGGTGCAACGATGCGATACGTAGAAAAGGTTTTACTGACTTGGCTATTGGTGCAACAGGTAAGCGACGTTGTTAGCGTCTGTAGACTGACTCGAACGGCAACGTGTGCCATTTTGACGTGCGCGGAGCTCAGCCAGCGGAATCTGACAGACATAGATACCCAATATGTTTTCTCACGTAGTTGCATTGATTTGCGTATAATGAGCTCGAATATCACCAATTTGGATTTCAAATTCAATGTCAAAAGACCATTTCAATATCGTTCAATTAAGGTGACTAGGAGCCACGTTAGAAACATCGACAGTGCTAGCTTTGTGGGATTGGAAAATTTGCAGAAACTAGTTTTAGATGGTAACAGCTTGGAAAGGGTGTCATTCGATGAGGATTCCTTCAAAAGTCTAACGGAACTGAGTTTGGTTGGTAACCAGTTGGTGTCAATTACGGCTCCCAAAATTGATACCTTGCAAATTTTAAAGTTAGACCACAACAGACTTAATGGACTTTCTCTGTGTAACTTCAAAAATTTGGAAGGTGTAACTTTAAATGATAACGAGCTCGTCGATATCAGTACGAGTTTCGGTTGTAAAATCCCACTCAAGTCTCTGAATTTGGGCTTCAATCGAATAGACAACCTGGAACTTAACACGTTTGCGTTTCTCTCTGATTTGGAGACGCTCTACTTGAACGACAACCTCATCAAAGCTTTAAACATAAGCGTCTTTGATAGATGCCTGAGCTTGAAATACTTGTATCTGCAAAATAACAAGCTGAGGACCATCACCGCGAATAGCTTCGACGGATTGAACCATCTCAGGGTCCTCACTTTGGAAGGAAACGGGCTGACGTACATAAACCCGTATTCCTTTGAAGATTTGCGGAGGTTATCGCATTTGGGGTTGCAAGGTAATCAACTGCGTCGCCTAGAATCGTACGCCTTCAGCGGCTTGGAAAGCTTGCGCAAACTGGATCTGGACGATCTCAACATTTCCGTGATACGCGAGCACGCCTTCCACGGCCTGAGTAACTTGGAATCGTTACAAATGCGCAACAACGTATTCCGCACAATCTCAATTTATGGACTGACAAATCTGCGAATCCTAAACTTAGACGGTAACTTAGATCTAGACTCGCTCAGAATTGTCAATTTAACCAAACTGGATAAGCTGATCTTGCCCAAAAACGTCAGTGGGCACATTATGTTGCAGCAGTCGCCCTTCGTGGGGCTAAGCTCGTTGAAGGAGCTGGACATGTCCGTGTTAAAGGTGACCTTCTTCCCTTCGTTTGAATTCAGCGGCGTAGAAAATCTGGAGACTCTCAACTTTAGTAGGAACTCACTTTTACGTTTGGTAAACGCACAGTTCGCCCAGATGCCGAGGTTGGTCAACTTGGATTTATCGCACAATTCAATTGGGGTGATCGGGACGAGTGCGTTTGACGGACTGGAAAACTTAAGGTGTTTGAACTTGAGTGGAAATTCCGTGCGGGCTCTGGACAAGCATCGGTTTCAGGGGTTGCCGCAGCTGGTTTCCTTGGTGATGCGAGACAGTGGGGTCAAATACGTTCAACCGGATGCTTTCAGCGGACTGTTGAAGTTAAAGAGTTTGGAGCTGGATCGGAACAGCATTGAGAGTTTGGGCGCTAAGGTCTTCGCCGGCCTCGCCGATTTGGAGGTGTTGAGTTTGGAGCAGAACAGCATCAAGTACGTTAGGAGCTATGCGTTTGATTCGCTTCAGAAGCTAAAATCGCTGAACTTGGCAGGAAACTCCATTGCATTTCTCGAAGAAAACGCCTTTTCTGGTCTAATCTCTATGGAGGCTTTGCGTTTGTCTAGTTTGCAAGTGTTGGAGGTGGTTCCGGGTGCGTTTAACGGAATGGAAAGCTTGGTCAGTCTGGATCTGGGAGACAATCACATTACGCGGTTGCTTCCGGAGACTTTCTCAGGGTTAGCCCGGCTGGAATACCTCTCTTTGTCAAACAACAGTTTGTCGGTGATTGAACCTTACTCATTCTCAAATCTGAGCCAGCTGAACACGCTTGTCTTAATGTACAACAATATAACTCGGTTAAAAGCGAACGGCTTTCAAGGCCTTTCCAATCTCAAACAACTCAACTTAAGTCAACTGTCGATTGAGGAAATTGAGGGTGATGCATTTATGGGTCTGGGAAACCTGCTTTCTCTAAATCTGTTTGAAAATCCCATACGCAGCTTGGACCGTAATACATTTAATGGACTGGGCCGACTATACAATCTCACCCTCAACAAAGGCCTCACCGAAATCAGACCTGGAGCATTTATGAGAATGGAGCATTTAGAACATCTGGTCATTACCGATGCGACCCTATCTAAAATTTCTTCCGGTACCTTCGACGGATTGGTATACTTGGCGCTTCTTCAATTTCAAAATAGTCAGATTGGGAGCATTGAAAGTAGGGCGTTTGAATTTAAAATGATTTGGGGACTAACCTTCGAAAACTGCACAATTTCCACCTTAGAGTCTGAAGCCTTTGCAGACTTGAGCGTGATGGAACTACCCAAATTTGCCAACCTTTCAATCGGAATACTCAATCCGGGCACCTTCCGCGGCCTCCATACGCGCACACAGGCGTTGAACTTGTCCCACAACCAGATCGAAGTTCTTGAGCCCAACACTTTTGAAAGTCTCGATGAGCTTTTCATCCTTGACCTGAACCACAACCGAATACGCAGGATCGAATCGGGTGCTTTTTCCACCTTGGTCAATGTCCGCAACCTTGTCCTCTCCAACAATCGCCTAGAAAGCTTACCTTCTGACGTATTCGCACCTTTGGACTCACTGCATCGGCTGGACTTGTCCTACAATCAACTCCAAAGCTACGAAACGTTCACATCGACATCCCGTCTGCAACATTTACAACTATCGCACAACAGAATATCGCGACTTGCACCGGGGGCGTTCGCAAACTTCGCACATTTACAAAGCTTAGATCTGAGCAATAACCTACTTAGCAGCGTTCACGATTCGCTTGCAGATCTACGACGCCTAACGACGCTGGATTTGTCCAGTAACCAAATTGGCACTTTGGCGTGGAAAAACTGGGACCAGCTACAACGTTTGAACATCAACTCCAACCACTTGCGGGCACTCAACATCGAGGTGCTCTTACGCGCCGCCCCAAACCTTAAGAGGATGAGCCTATTCGACAATTATTTCGTGTGCTCCCATCTGCATGATTCGCTCGACAAGTTGTCATTAGCTCAGGTTAGCATTGTAACAGGTAGCATAGCCACTTGCATTCCAGACGAAGACCCTGATCCTGCTTTATCAATACACGAGTTAACTCTAAACTTAACTGGGAAACTTCTGGCAGAACTGAGTGCCGTTCCCATGGAGCCTTCGTTGAATATTAGCTTGGAGATACACGAAGAGATAGACGAAGAGGTTGAGCCAAGCACGTTTCGTATTTTTGAAGTGATACTAGTTATTCTTTGTATTTTAGTATTAGTTAGGTTAAGTTTTGGGTTTTATACATCATGTAAGGCTAGTGCACAGAGGAGGAGGCGAGAAGGCGAAGAGGTAGAATTAAACAATGATTTGTAGATTAAATTTAATTGACTTCCGATCCCTTGGTAAATGAACGATGAAGACGGGTATCAATTCGCAGATCAGATTTTTAGAGCTCATAGTTTATAGAACTGATAATATTTATTGTAAGAATTATATGCTATTTATATCACAGAATTCCTTCCTTAATAACCTAGTTAGTTAGGAACAGCTGACGCCTCGTCCTTGTCAAGAATGTCTTCCTGTTGTTTTAAATCGTTTACGTTTTTTGTTTCCTAATGAGTAGATGACCAATGTATGTTCTGGACCAGGAAGTGACGTCAGACCAATCAGTAATGAGGTCGTGACGTCACAACCAACCAAACACGAGTACGGCCGCCTACGCCCCTCCCTTTCACGCGGTCCAACAGGTTAGGGAAGCGGTCCAAGAGCTTTTCCATCCGGTTCAACAGCTATGTGAACTGGTACCGGTTCAAAAATATGTGGGAAGGCTTCACGAACCTGTTGGAAAAAGCCTTACGAACCTGAAAGGGAGCAGCGTAGGAGGGCGTGCCCGTCTTTGATTGACTGTGACGTCACGATCTCGTTTCTGATTGGTGTGGCGTCACTTCCTGGTCCAAAACATACAATGGTCATAGCTTCCTCAGGCGTAATTCAATATTTGTATAACATCTCGTCAATCTCATTTGGTCGGATCAGCCACCTTCTTTAAGGCGGAATACATCAGTTTTCCAACCACCGTCTGGTAGGTACTTCTTCTTCATTTCCTCGAACTCGAGACATCACCAAGTGTTATCTGAAACTCAGTTTTCAGTGCTGCCAGCACCTCCTCAATTTTCGTTTGCTCACTTCCAAGAATAAGTCCGTCATCAACGTACAATAGGAGTAATGTCATATCCTCTTCCCAAATACAAAGACATGGATCAGCTTGGTTACGATTTAATCTTATCTCAGTCAGTTTTTGATAGATCTTCACGTTCCAGCACCTTGGAGCTTGCTTCAGACCATAGATACTTCTTTTTAGAAGCCAGACGCGACCGCTTCTGTTATCGAAACCTTCAGGCTGCCGCATCTACTACCTCCTCATGAAGATCACCGTTCAGAAAAGCTGTCCTTACATCAAATTGACTGATTCCCATATTGTACTGCGATGCCATCTGCATTACGCACCGGAAAGTGTCTGCCTTGGCCACTGGAGAAAAAGTCTCACCAAACTCATCGATGCGCTGTATACATCCTAATGCAAATAGTCTTGCCTTAAATCTTAAGACTGAACCATCCTCTGCAAGCTTCAGCTTCAGAACCCACTCTGCACGAGCTGGAATACCTGGTTATCGATCAGCGAATCAACCTTCTCCTGCATCGCAAGTTTCCACTCATCAGCATGCTGGCTCTGCATTGCCTCATTTGCAATGTTTGGTTCTGGGAATGCAGGAATCATCCGCTCATTCTTCCACATTCTTATTCAATGGACCTATCAAGAACTTCACATTCTTGGACGTTCACACCGTGTGCTTGCTTGGGAGCCAGACTCGGTAGCCATCATCACCTTTGTACCCAACTAGTCTGCCCTCGATTGCCTGCATCTTCCTGCGTTGTGTCCGATCTTGAAGTACAAAGCATGATGTTCCAAATGGTCGCATATATTGCACCGTTCCACCGATCCACGGCTCTAACGGTTGCTTGCCCTTGATTTGAGATGGTGCTGCCCGATTTAAAGTGTATGCTACTGTGGCCACTGCCTCGTCCCACAGAACAACCTTCTTCTCCTGTTGATTTGCAATCTGTAGTTCCATCCAGGCGGACTGCTCCCTTGCTGCGTGAGTGGTTACGTCTTCTGCATCTGACTTCCTCGGCTCGGCTCTTCTGCTCGTAGATGGATAATAGCTTCTTCCATATCTCGTAGGGGCTAGTACATGCTGAAACCTTGAACAGGACCTCCTCACAGAGAGTAGATCGCAGGCTGGTACTTGACAAGCTTCTGGGTATGCTGCTGCATCCGATTGCGCTTCCAGGCTCGGTTTTACGAAAGACTCCTCAATAGCATCAGCCACATCGGCGATTGTTAGAATGTCCTCAATTGACATCTTCCACTCGCTCCAGTTCTCGATTCCTTTGAAAGGTTTTACATCTATCTTTTTCATATTGACTGAATTTTTACGTGAATTCGGCACTCGAAAAAATTTTACCGACGTTACAAGACCATATGCTGCTGTAATCAGCAGATTCCAAACAAAATGCGACAGAAGAATATTGTAGTCCATGCTATATAATATTCTTTTACAAAAAAAATTAGTTACCGTGCGAAACCGGGTTTTTCAGGCAGGTGAAATGAATAGAAATTGGGAAAAAATAATTAAAACAGCTGAATTTTTCCGCCGGTGAAATC